CCAGATCATCCATCCGTTGCTCCAGAAACTTGCTCACACCATAAGATGTCCAGCTCCAAAAAATTGCCTCCCAGGCCTGCTTTTAAACTGTGCAGCTAAGGAAAAGGTGGCAACAGGGACTCACCTGCCTCACCACACAAACCACGCTACACATAGCAGTCAACCTGCCGTGATTTCGGGTTCTCTGTCGTTGGTATGAAGCCGCATAAAGTGACCTGCCAACACATAAAGTGAATATCTAAATCTAAATCTTAAGCGAGATGATTTTTTTGTTGGATTCTTTTAAGCCAACTGGTCCTAATTTAGTCAATCAAAATGTATGGATTTAGTGAAAATTAAATAAAAGCCATGAAAGTTTAGCCAATAAAAACCTGTCAATTTAGCACAAAAAGTTATCAACGCCAAAGGCCCTTTCATTTTCCGGTTTAAATGACGTTGAAGGTGCTCTAGGAATTATTTCTTCTCATTTTCATATGGATATAAACTCCTAGTATGAGAAGACAGTACATAGTAAGATCTATATCCATTACGTACACCATAAAGGGTAGTTCATACTAGCTAACCAAAATTCATTGGCATATTCTCTCAAAATATGGGCAATCAGATAACACTAACGAAGGTTTTAAACTTCTAGCAAATGAAGAATGAAATGGAATTGAATCAAATACAAGTAAAATTTCCCTAATTTGACGGTATGTATAGTTTAACCGTATGTATGAACTTTGGGGCTAGGACTGTGGTTAAGAGTTTGAAATTGAATATATATATATATATATATATATATATATATATATATATATATATATAATCGTATATATGGCAGTAATCATAAAGTTTTGAACATACAACCTCAGATGTTTAAGGAGAGACTCTACAAAATAATAATAAAAAAGTAAAATAAAACCCGGCCATATGGTACGAGAGGAAATACTGAGGTGGAGGGGGCGATAAATTTCTTGGCCGAATAACTACTGCCGGAGAAGGCACTGTCGGTGAAGGTCGCCCATTCCCTTAGAGCTTTGGCGGCTAACGGTGTACATAGTATCTCCCTGAGGAAGCGATGAAACGTAGAAAGGAGCAGGGTTAAAAAAGAGACTCTTCTATCGCTGATATGCCTGAACCAGAAGGACTATCAAAATTGCTCTGAGCGAATAAGTCACAAAATGACTGAGCGAATAAGTCGGGGTTGAGATTAAGTCATAAATAAACATAAAATATAGCTCACCGATTAAGTCATGATTTCCATTAAGTCTATTAAAAACTAAGTAAACAGGGCCTTAATATATTTCATTAGTCTATGATAATTTGTTGTATTGGGAGACATGCATGGTAATTTACCGATACCGTACCGTTATCGAACCGAAACTTGGGTATACCGAAACGTGGTATACCCAAACTTTGATAAGGTAACGATATATAAATTTTGTATACCAAAAATTTTGGTACAGTAAATCTGTGAGAGAAAATATTTGATATACTGTACCGAACCACCTCTAACAAATAGTCGAGTTAACCAACATTTCTTAAATAAAAAAACTTAGATTGCGTTAAAATGGGGAAGAGATATTACCCGAAATAGAACTAAAACAGTTTGAAAATTCCAAAATAGGATTGTCATGTTTTTATTCCCAAAATGTGACTAATTACTGCCATATTTTAGCAGTACCAGACTTCAAACATGACAGTATTTTTTAAACATTTCCTGATGGGGAAATAAATGCTACGAGTACTCCGTAATAAACTCAAACTGAAATTAAAACGGAATGATTAGAGAGATAATAGTAGGCCAACAGTGTGATGCAAAAGAACAGCATATAATTGCTGTGTATATGACATTTAGAGAACATCTTCTACCATAAAAAAGAAAGCACTATGCATTATGGCATTTTTGACAACGTCAAAGAGCCTCATATTTGCTGTCGGGTAGTCATTTGATTCCCCTTATCCCATAGGAGAATCAAAACGTATCCCTTGGTTGATTCACCAATAACCCACCCACCCCTCCCCATAAAAAAAGAGAGCAAATTTCCCTCATATCTTACTCACCCCTTTATGACTTTATCCCTTTTAGAAATTAGTTCAAATAGGACTAAAACTATGGCAAAAATCTAAAATAGGATTTGCTATGATTTTATTCTAAAATAGGACCATATGAGTCCTATTGGAAACATACCTATTTTTGCATTCCATTCTTACCCTTCCATTAAATATGAAATGAAAATAGTCAAAAGTCATAATTAAAGTTTAATTCATAATAAATTCGAAAAAAATTCAAAAATTTGTAGAAATATAATTAAAAAAATTATAAAATTTTTATAAAATAAAAAATTCAAAAACTTTTTTTTTAAATAATTTTATTTTTTAAAAAATTAATAAAAAATAGTAAAACTCCGTAAAAAAAATTTAAAAAATATGGATGCCTTTCCCACCGCCTGTACTACCTCCCAGCACCACCACCTCCGGCCGATGAAAAAATGCCATTTTCCCAGAAAAATGCCATTTTTTTCTTAAAATGCCAAAAAAGTGGCATATTTCTCTTTTCGAATGCCAACATTTTCATTTTTTTCTGCCATAAATATGGCATTCGTAATGAACTTGGCATTTTTTCCCCTGGTGACTGGAGGTGGTGGTGCTGAGGCGGCAGAGGCGGCGGTGATTTTTTTTTGAGTATTTTTTTTTAATTTTTTTTTTAATTTTTTGAAAAAAAAAATTAATTAAATTTTTAATATCGAAATGTTTTTCTTAATTTTTTAGTATTTTTTACGAAATTTTATTATTTTTTATTATTTTATTAGGAATTAAAACATTTTAATAGCTATAAGGGTATAATTGTCCAAGGTACACATAATTAGTCCTATGCAAACATAGTTCATTTTTTGGTCCTATTTGTGAAAAGTGAATGACTTTTAGTCCTATTTTGATAATTAATTCTATCCCTTTTTAAAATATATCTTCCCACCCTATCTTTTAAGGGACAAATATGTTGCAATAAAAAGTTTTGGACAAGCTCTAAATCTTGACAAATTAAATGTTAAAAACAAATAAATTAAAAAGTTTTTTCTAAAATATTACTAAAATAAATCTCATACACAAAAGTTTGACTTAAGTGATTATAAGTTTCCTTTATAGTTACTACGTAAAATTTAACCATAGTTTGAGTCAATAAAAATTATTAAGTCACACTTTTTCTTCACTATTCTTGTTTTGATTATGTATTAGGTATTATTTCATAAACTTTATGATATCAATAATGGGCATCAAACGTCATGATTTAAAAACGAGTCAAAGCCTCCTAAATTATTATAAGCATGCATGTAATTACCATTTTATGACAAATTTATGTGTTGGAAAATTACTTATGATTTAACATGCAAATAAATTTATCTAGATATCTAAATATTGATCCCTCCGTCCCGTTAAGATTGCCCATATTTTCTTTTCGGTATGTTCCACTAAGATTGTCTCGTATCAAATTTAATAAAATTTATATGGTTCTAAATCATTCTTATTTTATAAATGCAATATCAATCATATAAATTATTTTTCTTGAGAACCGCATCATCTCTTATATAGCATTGTTAAACTTATTTTTCTTAATAAGTGCATCACCTCTTATACCACAATACTCCCTCCGGTCCCGAATCAAATGCACACTTTTCTTTTTGGGTAGGTCTAAAATAAACTTCACACTTTTTCTCCCTTCCTTATTAGGCAAATTATCTACATCAAAATAGTGCAAAACAGTGCAAAACAGTGTCAAACAGTGTCACAACAATGTAGTCTACAATAAAGTCAAATTTATTTCCTTAATTTGTGTGAAGTCAAACACTGAATTTGTTTTGGGACCAGAGGGAGTATTAGTGAGACATAGGTTGTGCTACATACTACCTCAGTCTCAATGGACTTTGCAATCTTTAAATTAGGTGAAGAATATGAGTAGTAAATATTGTATCGTTAAAGTTTATGCAAAAGAAAGAGAAATGAACAAAACCATAAAATATTTACTTTAATGGAAAATGATAAAGTTTTTTGACACAATTAAAAAGGTAAAATTGATAAAGTCCAATGGAATAGAGTAAAAATGTAGGATATAATCTGGAAAATTTGAAAATAATAATCCCAACTATTGACGGTCCGCTAACAATAATCCCAACTATTGATTATTATTGTATAATCCCAAATTCCCAACTATATGGACTGTCCGCCAATAATGGTCCATGCCTGCATATTACCTGCTCTAACAAGTGATTTTTTAATAGAAATTAAACGTAAAAATTGAAATTCAAGATTATTTATAGGGATTACCTACTAGAATTTCCAATGAAATACAAGTAATAAGAATTTATTTATAATCGATCACCTTGGACCATTATTGGCAGAAAGGCCCTAAAGTTGAGATTATTCTAAAATAATTGATAGTTGGGATTATTACGAGCGGACCGACAATAATTGAGATTATTACGATCAATTTTTCGTATAATCTTTCAATCAACTCACTTTCCTTTGATGGATCTTTATGTCGGGGCAACCGGAAAGAGACATTTGAAGGAGGTGATGTGTTGGAATCCTAGTGGAACAAACTATGCACACTTTCACAAGAGTCATTTGTCCGCTTATCTATGCACTCACTTTCACAAAATGCACTTTGTGGCCCTCCTTATTAAATATTGTACCACTGGACAAAGACGGAATAGAGCAGAAAAGAAAAGAAAAACGTCAAAAAACACACGTTTTCCCAAAAAAAAAACAAAATCACCACTTTAGAAGCGGAGAAATGCCTAGTACTTCGTATGAGAGTGGAAAATTAGTACCGTTCACTTCCACTCTCAGCTCTCAAGTGCAAAGAAAAGGGGAGGGAAATTGGTTACTTCCAATGTTTCTTTAATTTATCTTTTTTTACTGTACTTTTATCCATCCACACACTAATTCAAATTATATACTTTATGTTTCCATTCTATTCCTCTCTAACCAAACAAACTGCTGATATGAACAAATTCCAATTTCAGGACGAAATAATTACTTCCACAATTTTGACATATATACACATCATACTTGAAAGTTGAAACATTAGAATCAGCTCCAATGAGCTAAAACACCCTAAATTATATTTTTGAAAGAAAAAGAAAACTAAATGGCCATAAGGCCCATAAGAGAGTACGACAAACATGATCATAGAATGAGGTATTTTAAAACATGATTTTAAGTTGTACACATGTCAAAAAGTATTAGATGACAAAACTATCATTGTCTTGCATCTCAGACCACATAATAAGACATCTACAAGAATACACGAATAAAATTTGTAGCAACACAACTTTTTTTTTAGTTTCATTCTTCTGCATCTTCAGAAATACCTTCCAGTAGCAAATACTGAAGAGATACTGAATATTTTGCTGTTTTTGATCCACTTGATTTGTCAATGCCAAATTTGTAGCTCCTCCTAAGAAAAAATGACCCAAATCCATCCCCTGATAGAGAAATAAAGATTCTTTTATAAGCCACTGGATACACATTCTGTAGCACAAAGTGTCAAGAAAAAATTCTTTAATAAGGAGTACAATAAACCCAGCTTCGGAACTATGGGAGTAATAGGGTGTGTTTGGATGGAGGATTGTGGAGGGGAGAGGTTTGGAGAGCTGAGCATATATCTAAATATATGTTTGATATGGGGTATTTTATAAAAGTCAAATAAATGACATAATAGGTCATTCTTCAACATCTAATGTTTCAATCACCATTCATTCAATTTAAGAAACATTGTATTTAACAAAAAAAAGAAACATTGAATTTATTTAAAAAAAACTACCCCCGTTTAAAATGAGTTCTCAGAATTATTATCTTGCCGTCGATGCAGTTCTCTTTAATAAATTCAATGTACCAAATTTTTGTCATATTCAAGTTCACTTTTTGCAGTTCAGTAGAACTTTTAGTTTATATTCTAAATATGTACGGAGTAACATTTTAATATGGAGAGAGTGCCAGAGTATATACTAAGCCTTCCAAAGTCTTCTCCTCCAAAAGACTCACAATCCCTACTTACAACCATTTCCGTAAGGAGGATTCTTTAGGATTTTGGAGGGCTAGTTTATAACTTTATAAATAGAGTAAGATCATACGTACAGTCTAAGACTCTAAGCCCTAAAATCTCCCCCCGCAAAACCCTTCCATCCAAATAGAGCGTAATACAAAGCTACATTTGGATCCTATGAAGTAACTCCACAATAAAGTTACTCCAAGTACAGGATCCAATTCGGATAACGCCCTCATACACAATGGAGTGAGGGAAAGCTAAAAGCAAATATGACAAACATTAGGGATAGACAACCACTTGAGCCTACCTCTAATAGTGTAAATGGAGGAGACCCATCTCTTATATATGTAAAGCAACCTTGGGGAGTCACCATGATGAGTATCAGAGAGAAGAAGTTGGCACTGTCCTGATTCTCTGTTTCTTATATCCAAACATAAAACCATCAAAGGGGGACAATTTTAAACTGGCATCATAAAATAAATTGAGCAGTTTGCTAACTTGGCTGAATCAATGGCATTTCGACACAACGCCAAAGTTCGAACCATTGCCAAGTCCTTTCCTCTAGCGTTATTGTACCTTTGTTGGCAATTTCTGAAGAGGGCAAATAAAAATTATGATTTTAAGTTGGCTGACCTAGCAAAACACTTATGGAGGAAAGGGTGAATAGAGGATGACCCAATAAAATCTCTATATTGAACAAGGAAAATGCTAGGGAATGAAAATATGGAGGAAAATAGAGGAGTCATAAGGAAAGAAAATGCGGGGGCGACCTGGTTTAAAACATCAAACTCAATTAATCAGTTTTAGATATTTTTTTCAAACATTTTAGATATATATCTATTGTATAAGACTGAAGAATCTAAATATATTTTAAGAAAATTCAATCTCAATTACTTAGTATTTTCCAGGATATAAGTTTATAACCAAACATTAAAAATCATTTTCTTTCATTTTCCCTCCAGACATAGCCTTTGACTATTTCCTATTGGAAGAAAATGAGAAAAGAAAGGATGCATTTGGAAATTGGGAAATACTAGGGGAAGAAAATAGGTGGGAAACAGAAAGAAATGTTGGAAGGAAAGATAACTTGGAGGAGCATTAAAGATTGTCTCAAAATCAATAAATTTGTTCAAGATATTTGTTCAAAATCAATAAATTTGTTCAAGATATTTGTTCAAAATCAATTTATTGATTTATTTGTATAATACACTCCATAAAGACTAAGGAGTCTAAATATATCTCAAAAAGAATTAAAATTGATCAATTTTCACTTTCCTTTGCATTCAAAGATAAAACCAAACATAAAAATTAACGTTCCTTAGTAGTGGTTTTCCTTACTACTCGTATAACATTTTCAGGATCCAAACATGAAACATAACCCAAGAAATGACAGAGATTGATTACATTGCTTTGTTGCTTTGTCGATAATAAAGTAAAAATGTCGTGGTTGAGATTTATGCACAAAAAAGAGAAATAACTTAAACCGTATCTTTAATACTAAATGGAAATGTAAAGTTTTATGAGATTGCTAAATAACTAATTAATGGAATGTGTCAAAGTTCATAAGAAGTAACTCATTAAGTTGATAAGTTAAAGAAAACAATACCTATCATCAAAGAAATCAGCAAAATCATCAATAATAACTGAAACAGGGATTTCATCATGAACATGGAATGCAGCGAAGTATTTCTTAATCCCTTCTTCATCATCTATATACCTACGAGAAGATCAATTCAGAACACTCATCACGCTATATCTGAAGTTTAAGTGTGTCTGAGAAATTAAATGAATAAAGTTCTTACTTCATGTGAATACGCTGAAAAATGTCGGAAGAAGGTTCGACGCACTGAGAGAGAAATGGGGGTTTTGCTTCTAATTTCTGACGGTTGGAAATGAACACCACGGCGGAGACGCTGCCCATGGCGGCGTTCAATGCATATTGGAACAGCAAAGAGGTTTTTCCTCTGCGTAAAACAAAGTCAGATTTGAGATCGAAGATCAAGCTATGTTGCAGACAGGTAATATCTTTGGACAGAAACAATGAGAAATTGGGCGGTACGAGGAAGGAGGGCCGGAAAGAAGAATGACAGAGTCGCTGCGGTCCCGGCAGCTCCGATCGTTATTTGGATCAGGGAGGGGAAAGAATCTTTCCACCATCTTCCCTGCACTACTCACTTGCCAAAGGCTTTTACATACCAAATTACCAAAGATACTTTTCTGGCTGTATTGGCTGAAGTTATTGTAGATGACCATTTTAGCTATTTTTACATATAATTTTTTCTTTATTCTATTAATAAAATATATTTTAAAAATATTCTTTTCTTGTATCTGCAGAATCAGCCAATGCAGCCACTTCAGCCAGAACTTCATAAATTTCAGCAGAATAAGCCAGAACAGCCGATTTTCGTGCTACCAAACGGGCTCTAAATGGTTTAGAATCATAATCAATTTTTTTAGAAGTTGGTCTCCCAACTTTTAAAAAACTGCTTCTAAGAGCAATTTGTGGCACCCAAATGTATTTCTCCACTTGCATCAAAACACTCCGATAAGGAGCAGAACCAGTTTCTAAATGTAGATCCAAACACCCCCTTAATAACCCTTCTTATTTTGATAACCATTTGGCTTTCAAATAATGACACAAATAATATTGTCAGGTTTTGTTTGGAGAAAAATATGACATATTTTAGAATTGAATAAAGAAGAGACCTCTTGTATATGAATGAATACAAATACTCTCATATATAGAGGCGTCGTCAAGATGACATATTAGGAGGGTAGGTCAGTACAAAGAAATTTGTTATAATTAAATTATTGAGAAAACTCTCAAACAAGCCCTCGTAATTTGGCCAATTCCTCAATTAAGCCCTCCTACTCCGAATCACCGAATCAAGTCCGCATAATTACCAAAAAACACTTAATTAGGATTATTAGCCGGTACACAACCGATTTACCCGGTATAAGCTGACTTGGACTCCGACGTGGCCTTTCCTTACCCGACAACTTAAGTTGATGTGGTTATCCTCCTTTTAAAGCCAAACCTTCCCCTGAGCATCTAACACAAATCCATTGCCCCCTCAGACCTAGTTATTCACCCTCCTCTCCCTGCGACTTTGTGTTTCTCCTTCACAAGTATGTCGTCTTCATCATCATCGTAAAAGAACGAAGTTGCACTATGGATTACGAGCCTGCTTTTTATTGTTGGTGTGGATTGAAAGCTCCTGTATGCGTTGGACGAGAGAGGGAGAACTTTTTATGGCTGTCAGAAAATGGAAGGTAAGTCTATAATTTGGGTGTGTGGTTTTGAATTACAGTGTATTGCCTTGTTCATTGCTTGCATATGTTATATATGTTCATGATTTGGAATAATTCCGATAAGATTTTAATGTGTACTGGGAGTTGCGGTTTTTTCTTATGGAAGGAAGATGTAGGGATAAAAGAAATTTTCAGGGCTGAAGAGAAGAAAGAACTTGTGAGGGCTGAAGAGAAGAGGGAAAGAGAAGATGAATTGAAAAAATTGGTTAAAGGACTTGTTTAATAGATTTCACATGTAGAGACAAATGTTGCTCGTGTCAAAACTGTGGTTGACAATGAGGCGAAGGTGAACAAAAAGAGTAGGAAGTTGTATGGGTTATCTATGATTGTACTTCTTGCTTTAGTAGGGAGCGTGTATTTGAGGATGTAAGATTGGTTTGCAATGTCAGAAATGATTATGTCTTGGTCATGTGTACTGTTTCAATATGGTAGTTATGTAATGGCTCTGTAATGGCACAATGTTGCTTGAATTATTCATTAAGAACTTGGTTCTTATGGATTTGTAATGACACAATGTAATGGGTTTGTAATGGCACAATGTTGGTCAATGAAACTGATTTTTGTATATTATAGCCAATGTGTGATTGTTGACACATAGCTGGAATTCTTACTAATTGTGTAATGGCTTTGTAATGGCACAATGTTGTTCAATGTAATGGTTGTTATGATTTTTGTAAACTGGAATGTAAAAAGCTGGAAGTGGTACTAACTCTGTTGACATCTGAAGCCCTTTCTACACTGCCCCCTGACTTGTCCCCATTTAAACACAAACCTCAACATATGGAATACCATACAGAGAGTACATGAACCACATTGAACATAGGTAATAGAGATAGGTAATATGATCAACAAATGACACTCCTTTACTTCCGATCTAATACAGAAGACCAATTTGCCACTCATTCATATTACATGTCAGAAAAAGGCTACTCATTCATAATACCAGCATTGATTCACAAAATCCATTACACATTAAGCAAATTAAACACCTTTACTAAGTTCATCCTACACCACAAACCCATTCAGTACACCATACAGATTGTTTTTACAGAATACACATCAAACAAAATGAAGACGATAACTAAGTTCTTCCTACACCATTAAGACCACCATTACATCATAAGATTTTTTTTCAAAATACACAGTCAACAAAATAAACATCCAACAGTCTATTGCAATTCATTGATCTTCCTCTCCTCCACCTCCAGTGTAGTCTCTTGTTAGCATTGTTTCTCCTATTTGTCCAGACTGCAATGAGGCAACAACAAAAAGAAAACTTGTTCATTATACATTACACTAAACACACAGAAGTGAGTAATATCATTACACTACACATCAACTAATGGTAATCCCTGTATGTTCATAAAAATAAAACTCAATTCCCCTTTCTCCTCCCCCCACCTCTTCCCCTTTCTAGTCTGCCCCCTGATCTATCCCAGTTCCAACACTCCCCATCTCACCTCTCCCTCTTTCAACACTCCCTCTTCCACCCCTGTTAGGTCTATCTCTTTCAACAGATAGTGTATGACCTTCATTTTCTTCTCTTCCCCTTTCAGCAGTTCTTATATGGCTTTCAGGGACTACTCTGCCAGTTTTAATCACTACTGTATTACCTTGAATTGACCTCAAAATTTCTTCTCCATAGTTTCTAATTTTCTTGAATCGATCCTTAAGCACACACTAGGTTTTTTCTTGCATAATTTTCAATGCTCTTGTAGCCATACTAATGGAGACATTCAGTTTATGTTCAGCTTTAAGCAATTTTTTTGGGTGTACAACACCCACGGAGGGATTCTCAATCAACTTCTCCTCATAGGTTTCAGCTATCCGTTTTTTATTTACTATTCTAAGCTCGAACTTTAAGTTACACAGATGGTCTGGGCTCCAAACTTTTAGTTGAAAGCATTTCAACCTTTCTTCCCAACTAGTAGTACAAGAAAAAGGGCAATTAATGGCACATTTAAGTGTGACTCTCTTTGGCACATTCTTAACAAAGACTATATCTCTTTTATGATACACAACATATCTAATCATAGCACTTTTATTTGATTACCGTCCTCAAACAACATCCCCACCTTAAAATGGGGAGGATCAGATTCTGGGTTATATGAACTGATGGATAGTGTACCCGGGGGGTAGCTTATCCAAGGGGTTATTACGGAGAATAATAAGAGAGAAGTCAGAGCAAGTAAATATAGAGAGAGAAAGTATATTGTAAAGTGTGGAGCGTTTTCAGCGTGGTTACAAATGGGGAAATGGGGAGCTATTTATAGTAGCAATAAATGCCGGACAGGGACACGTGTCAAGCGTTCATTGGCCGAGGGGTCACCTCAACTGGTTGGCGCTGGCAACCGCATGTGGCCGCATTTAATGCGGCTGTTGGATGGGACGTTGTACAGGGTACGGTGATCTGTACGCATGTGGAGCGGATATTGTGTTGGAAGGGGCGCCCTCGGTAGTAGGTGACTAGCCGAGGGCTCTGAGTACCGGGGACCCCCTTAATGCCGAGGGCTCCCATTGCCGAGGGCTACTGATTTTCGCCGTTTTTCCCAGTAACTTTGTTTTGCTGTCTTGCCCCTCCTGTGAGAGTTAGAGCCTTCGGCCAGGGGGCCGAAGGCTCCCCTGGTGCGCATTGTGGGCTGTTTGGTACTCTGGGCGCTGTGATTTGGGCCTTCTGGGCCTGTTGGGCCTTTATTGGAGTAGTAGGAGTCTGTGGGCCGGGGGTTCCCGGGCCATATACTCCATCAGGCGTCCCTCACTCCTTTTGTCGAAAGGTACTTGAGGGAAAAGGAGTAATAGTGTTTGTCCTCTGCCGTTGTTCCGTTTGTAGTTTGTAGAGTTGTGGGTAGTTTGCTGTTTGTTGATTCTGCCGAGGGCAGTCCCTCAGTTACCCACATGTCGGGACTTGAGGGGTCATGTTTGTGATTTTTGTGATTTTTCCCGAGGGGGTCCTCCAGTCCCCCACTCCTTGAGGCACTTGCAAAGTGGTGAAAAGGAGTAGAGTAGTTGCGTGGCTGTTGTGGGCCGAAGGCTGACGCTTTTCGTTTCATTTTGGGGGGATGCCTTGTTAAAAACCTCATTAGGAAAAAACCTTGTGGGAAAAATCCTAATGAGGGAAAAAGAGTGCACCGAATTCCCCCAACGATGAATCGAAAATGTGAAACCTTGGTTCGAAATGGAGAATAATGCAGGTGCCGAAGGCTCTCCTTGTTCTGAGGGCTCATGTGTTGATCAGCCGGAGGCTTGTTGTTGATGTCCTGGGAGGTGCCGAAGGGGAGTCCCTCAATCTGGGGATCGAGGGCGTAATGGATGAGGGTAGTAGTTGAATTGTTACCGGGGGGTCCCCTGTTTGTTGATTAGTTGGTGATGAGGATATCCGAGGAGTCCCGTTACCTATGTGCCGTAGGCGATCCGTCAATGAGGCATACTCCCCGGGGGCTACCCGGTTCTCAAAGTGCCGAGGGGGGATCCCCGATGGGTGCCTGATATGAAGCCTTGGGCTTCTGAAGGAGTGATCCCGAAGGCATCTGTTACATACTGTGTGGGGCATAACCCGGGAGCGTCTCCGGGTAAGTGTACCCGGAGGCTCTCCTTGATGGAGTGGAATGAAGTAAAAAGCCCGGGGGCTCCCAGAATATAGCCGTTGGAGATATAGCCGTTGGAATATCTAACGTCAGAATATAGCCGTTGGGGGGGGGGGGGGGTTGCCACGTGGTGTGTGGTCGTTGGCTGCCCGTGGGCGGGCGTCACCGATTGGGCGAAACCACGGTTGGTAATGATGGCAGTCCAACCGGAGGCCCGGCTTCCAGGCCCAAGCCCGGATCCTTTTGCCTATAAATACCCCAAGGCCGGACACTTCCCCTTGTGCGAAATCTTGTTAGCTAAGCTCTGC